ACTAATAGAATAGTGGATGCGGCTAGTAATAGTATTCCAAAATCTATTATTAGTTCATATTCTAAATTCTAGTGGAATGAGGACTTAAAGACTTTACGTAAATTAATGCTATACTATAGCCGTAAGTCTAAAGCCTTAGGGTATACTTTCTATAAATAAGAACTCCAAAATATAAAGAATACTTACTTTATTATTATTAAAGGCGCTAAGCTAGCGTATTGGAATAAGTTCTTAGAGAATGAAGACTCCCAGTCGATTTTTAAAGCTATGAAATATACTAAAGATACCTTATATGAACTGATTCCTAGTATTTTTTTTTCCTTTTTTTTTTTTTTTCCTTTTAATGTGCTTTATTAGTCTAGAACTATGTAGCACGGCTAGCTAGCTAGCGTGTGTCTCCGTGGTTTATATACAGGCCCAATTTCCAATATAGGTGTAATAAATGGTTGGGGACGTACCCCTAGAACAGTAATAGTAAGGAAATAAAGAAAATGAGTGTAAATCGCGATTCCTCCCCTATCCCCTATTCCCACTCTCCTATTTCCACATCCCCTATTTCCACCCCTATTTCCACCCCTATTTCCTCCCCTATTTCCTCCCCTATTTCCACCCCTATTTCCTCCCCTATTTCCTCCCCTATTTCTACCCCTATTTCCACTTCTTCCACTTCTACGCTTCGGTCCATATGCCATTTTCTTGTATATATACTAGTCTCTTTTAAGAATACTAGTGTATTCGGTATACTAATCTCCGTATGTAATAGAACTCATAGGTTAAAAGCACTAGCCTCCAAGCTACCCTTAAATAGACTAAATAGTCTAATTCGTTTCTTCTTATATAGCTCGCAATATAAAAGGAGGTGCTTTGCATTCTTAGTCTTGCCATATTTGCATTTGTTATTAGATACTATTTTTAGCCTATATAAATAGGATTTTATATATCCGTGGCCTAGCTTTAATTAGAAGAAGGCACTAGCTAGTAGCCTTAGAGTTCCTAAAGATAGCTATATTTTCTTGGATACTTTCCACGGATATATATTGCTATATGATTCTAGCTAGGTCTTTGGTTTAGTATAAGATTCTAAAAGTAGTCTATATTCTTGTTTCTTAACTTTATTAATTTGGACCCCTAGGAAAGCAAAGGAGGTTTTTACTAATTCAGGTTCTAATATAGGAGAAGTAGTGCCTATTTTAGCTAGCACGTTTGCTTCTTTATTCCCAATTATATCTATATAGCCTGGGACCCAGATTAGTTCTATACTAGCTCCTTTAGCTATAAGGGCTTTAGTAGCTAGTATAGCTCTAATCTATTGACTTTGTCCCGGCTTATTAGAAGAAGTCTTTAATCTTAGTAAACTAGCTTGGTTATCTATATAGATATTATAGAGCTCCCCTCTCTTTGCTTTACTACTAGCGTATTTAATAGCTCTAGTAATGCCTTCTAGTTCTCTATTATAGACTATAGTACTAGCTCCTATATTCTGGCTTTCTCTATATTTAGCTATAACTAGTATATAGGAAGTTTCGTAACTATAGACTACGAGTCCTAGGCCTATTCCGATTCCTTTTTGAGTTTGAGATCTATCTATATATATAGATAATATAGAGCTATTATTATATAAAGTCTTTAAATAGAGATTATGTAATATAGTAGTTTCTTTCTTAGGCTGTCTTGATATAGTGATTTTATAAGGTACTTCTCTGTTCCAGGGAATAAAGTAAAAGTGTCTTATAGTCTCTAAGTCCTTAGGGACTATAAGTTCCTTAATAGAATTGACTATAATTTCAATTTGGGATATTTTAGCTATATGATCTCGAACTAGATCTGTATTTAGACTATAAATAGAGTCTATATCAGAGTTTACTAATTCTAATTACTTAGATTTTTGGAAGGACTTCTTAAACTCTAGTCTAATAGGGTGATTTAGACTTAATTTAAGGATATGGAGGGTATATTAATGACGATTATGGTTTAGCCTTATAATAGGTGGAAGTAAAGCTAATTCGATTTCTATAGGAATAATAGGAGCTGATTTAAATACTCCTAAGGTTTTCCTTAGGGCTAGGTTCTGGATAGCTTATAAAGGCCTAATTTGAGCTTTATTTTCAGTCTTCTACTATAGTAAGGAACCATAGTCTATTATACTAGTAATACAGGCTAAATATAGCTATCTAATTGCAAATGGGAATAAATTATATAATATATTCGTAAGTCTCTAAACCCTATAAAAGGCTTGTTTTGCTTTAGAAGTCCTATAGGCTATATGTTCCTTAAAACTGAGCTTCTCGTTATAGTATATTCCTAGCTATTTAACTATCTTACTAGGGAGAACTATAGCTCCGTTAGGTAGTTTTAAGCTAGGCTTATTTTTGGAATTATTAAAGTAAATAAGCTTAGTTTTATCTATATTAAAGCTAATAGTATTCTTATTCCCTAGCTCAAATATATCCTTTGCTTCTCTTTCTAAAGTCTTTATATTTTATTTAAGACTTTTAGAAGTAGTAGTAAGGGTTATATCGTCTAAATAGGACTTAAAACTAATATTTACTAATCTAAATAGATCTCTGATATAGATTAGGAATAGTATAGGTAATATAGGACTACCTTGTGGAATGCTAGTAAGTATAGACTTAAATGCTTCGATACTATTATTAAAGGCTAGTCTTAATACCCGGTTGTCTAGGAATAATAATACCTAGAGAATAAGGCTAGTAGGTAGTAATAAACTAATTATGATCTGTAATAGCCTATTCTTGGATACGTAATCGAAGGCACCTTTAATATCTAGGAAGAGAGTACTAGTTTTTAGCTTATAGGACTTATTAGTCTTTACTTCATTCTATAGTAATAAAGTAGTATTAATAGCTGACTTATATAGCCTATCTCCTATTTGGGAGGGATATAATAGGTTACTAGTCTCGGCTAAATAACTAAGTCTCTTAGCTAATATTCTCTCAGAAACCTTCCCTAAGTAATTAAGTAAGGAAATAACTCGATATGCTTTAGGTAGGGAATAGTTTGGTTTTCCTGATTTCTTTAGAATAAAGCCAGTAGCTTGTTTCCAGACTTTAGGGTAGTATTCCTTATTAATAAATAAGGAATATAGCCTATAAAAAATGTCTGGAGCAGCTCTATAGGTGTGGACTATAATCTCTTGAGTAACTAAGTCTGGTCCTGGGGTTTTCTCCTTTATCTTAGAAGTATATGTTTGTTCTAGCTTTATTCTGGATAGAATAGGCCAGTTCTACTTTAAACTAGGCCTATAGTTTATTAGGCTAATAGGCTCAGTATTAGGGGGTAGTGGGAAAAGCTTAGCTCTAAAGATATTATACTTCTCTTGGAAAGTTGACTTTAAATTACTATTACTACTATTACTACTATTACTACTATTTCTATTATTACTATTTAAGATACTAGGGATCGGTTTATATAAGGTATCTTTAGTATACTTTATAGCTTTAAAGATTGACTAGGAATCTTTATTCTCTAAGAACTTATTCTAATATGCTAGCTTAGTGCCTTTAATAGTAATAAAGTAGGTATTCTTTATATTTTAGAGTTCTTATTTATAGAGAGTATACCCTGAGGCTTTAGACTTATGGCTATAGTATAGTATTAATTTATATAAAGTCTTTAAGTCCTTATTTTACCAGGGTTTAGAATATGAACTAATAGTAGATTTTGGAATACTATTACTAGCCGTATCCACTATTCTATTAGTAAAGTCTTTAGCTAATAGATCTAGTTTATGGTTTCCAGGTATACTAGTAAGTGGAAAGGGTATATTATTAAGGCTACTAATAAGGTAGCTTGTAAATTTAGCCCAGTTCGCTTTCCTAGTATTAAATCTGACTGGATTAGAACTAGAGCTATAAGTCGACTTACTAATAGTAAATAGTACCCCAAAGTAATTAGAACCTAAGTCTGGTAGTACTTGCTAGTCTTTAATCTTAGTTACTATTCCACTAGTAGTAAAACTTAAGTCTAATATAGAAGAAGTGGACATATTAGGCCTATAGAAGGTACTTTCCCCTATTTTATTTAATAGCCTTAGAGAATGGCTTTTTATATAGCTAATTAAATAGATTATATAATTGCTTTGAGGCCTTAGGGGATCCCACCAAGGATAATATATATTAAAATCGCCTAGTAATAAAGAGCTATTAAAGAGAGTAGTAGGTAAAATATCCTCTCTTAATATAGTTAATATACTATTAGGGTCTTCTGGGTAAATTATATTATAGAAATTAATTAGCTGCATTTTTAGTATACCTAGACTTAAGTCTATAATTAGGCAATCTGGATTACTTAGTGAGTTTTGAGCTAGGCTAGCCTGTAATTCACGGGCTATGTAAATTAAGGTTCTAGGTCTCAAGGTACCGTAATTCGGGAGTATTTAATAATAGCTCGAGTATATAATGGAATGATATTTCCGATTATTACTATTTCTTGCTATTACCTATAGTTCCTGGATTACTAGGACTTTAATATCTAATTCTATAGCTGTTTACAAGACGTTTTTAGTAGTAGTTCCATTACGATTCATATTAAATTATAGTACTTTAATATAGTTACTTATTAATAGTAATAATAGGAATTATAGTAGCTTTAATAGCTAAGTACACTTCACATAGCTTGGAATTAGCTAAATGTATAGTACTTAAATAATTAGAGCATTTAGTAATTATATAGAGGCACTTTTTACCCTTCTTTTTATAGATAGAGTAAAAATAGTTCTTAGTCACATGACTTTCCCTATATAGTAAATACTTAGGTTCTTTTTTGCAAATAGAATCTAAGTACTCGTACCCTGTACACCTAGTATACTATATAGTACTAGAGATAGTATGATATTTTACTACCTTAGCAGAGATTCCGGCTATAAGGAGTCTATTTTTAATAGCTCTATTAGCTTGGATCTCGGTAGGGAATACCACTACTACTAAACCGGCTCGCTAGAGGCCTAAGTTTCTCTTTTCCTTAGAAGTGGCCCAATAAGGCTAGCCAATAGGCTCTAGTCCTTTATTAAAGGTCTTGATCTCTTCTAGGACTAAGTCCATTCCTTCGGGTATATCAAACTCACGAATAGGTATACCATAAATAATAACTTTATACCATAGTTCCCCTTTTTATATACTTTTAACTAAGGGAAGCACCCCCTTTATAATCTCAATATTTGAAACCAGAAAATCAGAGTTAAACTCAGGGGTAGTATTTACTATAATATTACCCCTTAAGGAAAAAGAGACCATAGAGATTACTAATCCCTTGATTCCCTTAGAGCAGAAAGTAGTATTAAGCAAATTACAGGTAGAAATAGCTAAAAAGGAAATAGCCTACTCTATATGAGCTAGTAGGAAGGTGCATTTCCTAGAGAGGGCTATATTTTTAGTATTACATATACTATATAAGCTAGTATCACGAGCACTAGTCGTATTAGTACCACGAGCACTACCGCTACTAGTAAGTATACTAGTGCCATTTCCTCCCTGATTTTTAGACTTAGTATGTAATACTAAAGTCCAGTCCTTGTCTTTTGCCGAGTGTATAGGTTCTTGACTAGCCACACTAGCCCAAGTAGGCTTAGCTTATATAGCTTATATAGGCTTCATAGGGGTAGTTTTTGCTTGGGTTCTTGCTTGAATTTCGATCCATTTAGTGGCATTTTCAAGGTTCGCTACTTGAGAGGCTAGTAAAGTACTAGTATAGCGGATACGGCCGAATTCAGTATATTCTCTAAAGATTTCTACTAGATCTAGTAGTTGAGATTACTGGTCATATAACGTAGTAATACTAATAGCTTTGACTATTAAGCTTCGGGCTTTGCGGATTAGTAGTTTAGCTTTGTTCGAAGCTTGGTTCTAATATTAGTAGTAGTTTCCGTGGTTTTGGTATTCCTTATTAATATTGCTATTAATATCGCTCGAGCTAGGGCCACGCTTTAGCCCGTTTAGTGTGCGGCTCTGGCGATTCGCACTAGCCTGATTAAGCTGAGAAAAAGGGGCTATGAGTTCGTCTGAGGATATGGGGTTCGTAGTTAAATCGAAGGCGAACTAGGAACCCGGGGGGAATCGAGGTAATGGGGGGCTAGTGGGTAGCTCTAGCTCCGAGCTAGGGCTCTCAGGGAGTTCTCCGAGGTCCTGGGGGTCGATATTAGGGGGGCTGGAGCCCGGGGGATCCGGGGGGGCCATTTAGCCGGCTCTAGTTCTACTTATAGTAGGTTCTAGAGCTTGGGGCTAAGTGGATTAGGTATACTGAGTGAGTTCTATAGGTAGGTGAAGTGTGTATCTGAAAGTAAGAGGGGTAAAAAAACCGAAAATAAATTGTTTTGGATCCCTAGTATCTTAAGTAGTAATAGTGGAAATAGTAGTAATAGTAGTAATAGTAATTTAAAGTCGACTTTCCAAGAGAAGTGTAATATCTTTAGAGCTGAGCTTTTCCTATTATCCCCTAATACTGAGCCTATTAGCCTAATAAACTATAGGCCTAGTTTAAAGTAGAACTGGCCTATTCTATCTAAAATAGAGCTAGAATAAGTATACATCTCTAAGATAAAGGGGAAAACCCCAGGACTAGACTTAGTTACTTAAGAGATTATAGTTCACGCTTATAGAGCTGCTCTAGACATTTTTTATAGGCTATATTCCTTATTTATTAATAAGGGGTATTACCCTAAAGTCTAGAAACAAGCTACTAGCTTTATTCTAAAGAAATTAGGAAAACCAAACTATTTCCTACCTAAAGCATATTGAGTTATTTCCTTACTTAATTGTTTAGGGAAGGTTTCTAAGAGAATATTAGCTAAGAGACTTAGTTATTTAGCCGAGACTAGTAACCTATTACATTCTTCCTAAATGAGAGGTAGGCTATATAAGTTAGCTATTAATACTGCTTTATTACTATAGAATGAAGTAGAGACTAATAAGTCCTATAAGCTGAAAACTACTATTCTCTTCCTAGATATTAAAGGTGCCTTTGATTACGTGTCCAAGAATAGGCTATTATAGATCATGATTAGTTTATTACTACTTACTAGCCTTATTCTCTAGGTATTGTCGTTCCTAGATAACCGAGTATTAAGACTAGCTTTTAATAATAGTATAGAAGTATTTAAGTCTATATTTACTAGTATTTCACAAGGGAGTCCTATATTACCTATACTATTCCTGATCTATATCCGAGATCTATTTAAATTAGTAAATATTAGTTTTAAGTCCTATTTAGACGATATAACTCTTACTATTATTTCTAATAGTCTTAAAAAGAATATAAAGACCCTAGAACGGGAAGTAAAGGATATAGTCGATTTAGGGAAAAAGAATACTATTAGCTTTAATATAGATAAAACTGAGCTTATTTATTTTAATAATTCCAAAAATAAGCCTAGTCTAAAACTACTTAATAGGGAACTAGTTTCCCCTAGTAAAGTAGTCAAATGGCTAGGGATCTATTTCGATAAAAACCTCAGATTTAAGGAATATATAGCCTATAGGGCTTCCAAAGCAAAACAAGCCTTTTATAGGATATAGAGACTTATAAATATATCATATGGTTTATTCCCTTTTATAATTAGATAGCTATATTTAGCCTGTATTACTAGTATAATAGACTATGGTTCTATACTATGGTGGAAGACTGAAAATAAAGCTCAGATTCGGCCTTTATAGGCTATTTAAAACCTAGCCCTAAGGAAGACTTTAGAAGTATTTAAAACTGCCCCTATTATTCCTATAGAGGTCGAATCAGCTTTAGCTCCACCTATTATAAGGCTAAACCATAGTTGACGTTAATATGCCTTCCAAATCCTTAAACTAAGTCTAAAACACCCTATTAGACTAGAGTTCGAGAAGTTCTTCCAAAGATCTAGGGATTTAGAAGTAATAGAATCTGATATAGACTCTATTTATAGTCTAAATACTAATCTAAAGCAAGATTGCTTGGCTAAAAAGTCTCAAATAGAAACTATAGTGGATTCTATTAGTAATCTAGTAGACCCTAGAGATCTAGAGATTATAAGACACTTTTACTTTGCTCCCTGGAACAGAGAAGTACCTTATAAAATTACTATATCAAAATAGCTAAAGGAAGAGACTACTATATTACATAATTTCTATCTAAAGACTTTATATAATAATAGCTCCGTACTATCTATATATATAGACGAATCTCAGACTAAAAAAGGAATCGGAGTAGGCCTAGGGCTTGTAGTTTATAGTTACGAAACTCCTTATATTCCGGTCATAGCTAAATATAGAGAAAGCCAGAATATAGGAGCTAGTACTATAGTCTATAACGGAGAACTAGAAGGCGTTACTAGGGCTATTAAATATACTAGTAGTAAAGTAAAGAGAGGGGAGCTTTTTAATATCTATATAGATAACCAAGCTGGTTTACTAAGATTAAAAACTCCGTCTAATAAACCTGGCCAAAGCTAACAGATTAGAGCTATATTAGCTACTAAGGCCCTTAAAGCTAAAGGAGCTAATATAGAACTAATCTGGGTTCCAGGGCATATAGATATAATAGGGAACGAAGAAGCTAATGAGCTAGCTAAGCTAGGCACTACTTCTCCTATATTAGAACCTGAATTAGTAAAAACCTCCTTTGCTTTCCTAGGGGTCGAAATTAATAAAGTTAAGAAACTAGAGTATAGACTACTTTTAGAATCTTATACTAAACCGAAAACCTAGCTAGAATCATATAGTAATATATATCCGTGGAAAGTAACCAGAAAAATAAACCTACCTATAGGAATACTTAGGCCTATAGCTAGTGCCTTCTTCTAGCTAAAGCTAGGCCACGGATATTTAAAGTCCTATTTATATAGGCTAAAAATAGCATCTAATAATAAATGCAAATGTGGCAAAACTGAGAATACAAAGCACCTCCTTTTATATTATATACTATATAGAGAGGAACGTTTTAGACTATTTAGTCTATTTAAAGGGAGCTTGGAAGCTAGTACTTTTAACCTACGGTTACTATTACATACGGAAATTGGGATATTAAATATACTAGTATTCTTAAAAGAAACTAGTATATATATAAGAAAATGGCATATTAAGCGAAGCGTGGAAGTGGAAGAGGTAGAAGTAGTAGAAATAGGGGGGGAAATAGAAGAGGAAATAGGGGAGGAAATAGGGGAGGAAATAGGGGAGGAAATAGGGGAGGAAATAGGGGAGGAAATAGGGGAGGAAATAGGAGAGGGGGAATAGAGAAAAAGGGAAAAGGGAAATAGGGAATAGGAGAGGAATTTGTGATTTATACTTATTTCTTTATTTCCTTAAGTTTTTGTTTCAGGGGTACGTTCCCAACCATTTATTACACCTATATTGGAATTTGGGCCTGTATATTAGCTACTGAAACACACGCTAGCTTAGCTGGCCGTGCTATATAGTTCTAAACTAATAAAGTATGTTAAAAGGGAAAAAAAAAAAAAAAAAAAAATAGACTTAAATGCTTTAATACTATTATTAAAGGCTAGTCTTAATACCCGGTCATCTAGGAACAATAATACCCAGAGAATAAGGCTAGTAAATAGTAATAAACTAATTATAATCTGTAATAGCCTATTCTTGAATACGTAATTAAAGGCACCTTTAATATCTAGGAAGAGAGTACTAGTTTTCAGCTTATAGGACTTATTAGTCTCTACTTCATTCTATAATAATAAAGTAGTATTAATAGCTGACTTATATAGCCTACCTCCTATTTGGGAGGGGTATAATAGGTTACTAGTCAAAAACACAACTTTTTTTCCGGTTTTTTTTTTTTTACTTCCCTTACTTTCACACCCACACTTCACCCACCTTCAGAACTCACTCAATACACCTCAGCCCTTTGGCCCCAGGCTCTAGAACCTACTATAAGTAGAGCTAGAACAGGCTAAATGGCCCCCCCTGACCCCCCGGGCTCCAGCCCCCCTCCCATTAACTTTCAAGAGCTCGGAGAGCTTCCAGAGGGCCCTAGCGAGGAACTAGAGCTACCCACTAGCTCCCTACTAGCCCGGTTTAGCCAGGGAGCTTAATCCGTATTCGATTTAGCTACAAATCCAATCTCTTTAGACGAACTCGCAGCCCCTTTTCCTCAGCCTAATTTAGCTAGTGCGGCTCGACTGAGCCGCCTCCAGAACGGGCTAAAGCGTGGCCCTAGCGCGAGCGATATTAATAGTAATATTAATAAGGAATACTAAAACCACGGAAACCACTACTAATACCAAAATCAAGCTTCGAATAAAGCTAAATTACTAATTCGTTAAGCCCGGGACTTAATAGTCAAAGCTATTACTATTACCCCGTTATATGACCAGTAATCTCGACTACTAGATTTA